ATTAAGCGAGACCCCAATAAATATTGAAAATAGAGCGACAGTTTTGTAGATAAACCATTATTAATACATATATTTTACATCGTCTATATTCATTAATAATATGTAATTTTTGCAAGGTATAAATTGCTGATAAAAAACTCAATCTCTCAGGACTTTCAATGTATTTACAACATTAAAAATTCAAATTTGTATCGCACAATATATGTGTATATTAAAAGTATTTTTAAAATCTCATCTCGCTATAAAAATATCGAGGTTATACGAGGAATATTTTCAATGAAGCATCCTGTAATATATTATGGAACAAAATCGCTCTCGTTGTAATGGCTTGCTCGCGTTAAAAATTACCTCCTGTCGCGCATTTAGCGGTGACTTTCATCAAGTGAAATTGTGCCTGACGATTTTCGTCGAGGGTGGAAGAGCCCGTTGAGGCGTGAAGTCGCATCCCCAGCTACTTTGTCAGGCAGATCGAAAGGGTGTGATAGCGAGCCCTTAGCGAGGAACGCTTTCCACAGAATCAACCATAAAACGTTAACGCGTTGCAATTAATCGTAGGTTTGCGCGTCTTCTCGCGACTTTAAAGGATTATGCCTAGTCATAAAAGTAAAAAAGATCGATTTTTATGTTTTTACATTTTCTTGAAATATATCATATTGAAAATATTTCCACAAAGTTTCAAATTAATCGGCAAATTGACGGAGCTATAAGTGTATGTTTCATGAAGCGCCAGAATGTATAACTTTGTTTAAACACGACTATAAAGCTTCAGCTCTGATGTTTTGAGGATTATCAAGCCAATATATGAAGACTTAAATAAACTAAAATTATATGGGCCCGAAATAGATGATTCTGTGTAAATTAAAAAATCTGCATTTTATTTAAACGTAAACTTGACACAAATCTTAAACGCGTTTTTCTCGAAATCATTTTTTTCAAAGTCGGTGAACAAGATATTTCGAAAACCGTTACACCGATTTGCTTGAATTTTTACAGGCTTTTTCTAAATATAAAAAGCTAGTAGATGAATGAAGGACTTTGTTTTTTAATGAATACTTTTTTTACTTAATAAAAAATGAGCAATTTTTAAGTCGAAAAAGAATATTTTAGTGCCAAATGGCTGCCATTTTGTCCCAAAACAATTTTTCGATTAATCCTTTGTTCATCTACTAGACAATTTCATACATTAACTACAGTTTATCGAATTTTTGATATCAGATGAATAGCACTGCTCATCGCAAAGCGCATTTTAAAAAACAATATCCGGGAGAATAGTTATAACTTTGACATTTTTTATATTTTATTTTAAAAAAATAAAATATCTTTAATATTTGTACTTTCGAATAAAAATTTGTAAAAAAAATTATTACACTTTTCAAAAAATTCCCAAACATCATATAATACTTTTTTCTGTCTTTTCGATCTGTTGACATAATCCCTTAAGGAAAAGTTGCGATAATTAGGAATGGGAAGGATAACGATTAGAGAAATTTTAATCGGATGAAGGATGCTGAGAGTTAGATTCTTACGAGGCGAATTTCCGAGGAAATTTTCGAGCGAATTATCGACAGAATTTCAGATCGATCGGATAAAGAAAGGTGCGGGAATAAAAGCGCGACTATAAAACGCGCTCAGCTGAGACGGACGGCTGACAACGATTCTACAAATTTCGGGATGAGAGACTGTTCGTGCGCGATATTACGTCGAGGTGCGAGTTATTACGCGGCTACTGGAGCGGGTATCGAAATTACGTCGTAAATCGTGGCCCTCGAGATTCGATGGCGCGAGAAAGTGCTTCCGCGAGCGTTTCGAGATGGACGGGACGACGACAAAGAGCCAACTGAGACGGTTCCTCCCCGCGAAACGATCGATGAGAGGGCGGATGGGGACAAGGGATGGTCCCCGTATCTCGCGGGGAACGGATTCTTCGAGCTGCGAGAATCGAATTAAGGCTTTCGGCCGAGTGGCTTGTACAACCTTGTAACGCTCTCGAATTTCGCCCAACTACGAGTCTTTGCCAGTTACGAAGTAACTGTCGCGAATTATTAATCGGACGTTGGACCGAGTTACAAAAGTTGTTACGTAAGATACCTCCGGTAAAAAGAACGTAATTTGCTGTTAAAATTGTGTGCAACGAACGTATCATGGTAAGATTATTTTCAAATTTGATGTAAGAGGTGAGTCATTAATTCTCACGGGGTGTAATTTATGTTTCTGTTTTTCCCATGAAAAATATATGAATTATATTATTCACGTCTCAAATGCATCAAAAACAGATTTTTGTAAAAAAAATAGAATCCACGCAAAAATTATATTCCTTCATATTTTCCACGCGAGCGATAAATTCTCTGAATTTACATTGTTCTCTGCAGAAATACACATTAAAGTTACGATGTTTATTAGGGGCTATTCTAGATTTGCATCCCCATCGTTAGTGTTTCCAACTTTACATCAAATAATCGTATTATAAATTTATTTCGTATAAATTTATTTATTTATTATTCTCTACGTAAATAAAAGGGGAAAATTGAACATGAGAAGTTGAATAAACGTGAATTGACTCGTGAATTCTCTCATTAATTAACCCGAAGCATAAATCCTCTTGGTTGCATCAGTTGCAAGTTAGGCGCATTAAAAGTCGTTACGTAATAGATTGTGCATTGCGTGTCGTATAAGACGTTGCTGGAATGACGTTCGGGCCTGCGTACTCTCTAAAAGAATCAGTGTATTATCACTGAAAAACAGTAAATAGTCACTGATTACAGCAGTTATAAATACAGCACTGTAAATCAATGATATTTTATTGAAAGAATCATTTAATAATTTTGACTGTTTCAATCAGTAATATTTCCCAATATCAGTAATATTTCTTTCTATCGTCAGTAATATTAAACTATAATTCATCTCTTCATAATTTTCATTAAGTCGTCAGACATTTATTTGTCCGACTTATATATGATCGATTTAATATTTGAAGCCTCTCTTGAGATTGTATCAGAAATTAAATCGAAGTAATACTTCTAATTTTATCTGTCGCTCTTTCCAAACTTTATATAATTCTTATGATTAAAATTAAATACGAAAGAGATAGAGATTGTAGCGGTAAACGAACGAACTAGCGATTACTGGTTTTACAGTGAAATTTACTGGTTTTATAGTAAATTTTATTTCAAGGATGTTTTATATCTATTTTCAAAATATTGAGAATTTAATGAAAATTGTACAGAATGTCCTTACATATGTTTAGAATCTTCGGTACAATTTTTAAATCGATTCACTAAAGCGTTCACAAGTTATGGATTTCAATTTGCACCGAATTAATATGTGTTCTTATGGGAAACGTATAACCACGTCGATTGAAATGACAAAAACACATGGAAATAATATTCAGAATTTGTTTAAAATTTGTAAAAGTTTTGATACAGAGAAAATATTTGGTCAAATAATATTATACAAGTACTAACTGGTTAAAAAGGTATTAAATATAATTCAATGAAGTTAGCCATGCATCTGTCACAAGGCGAAATTCTGTCAAAAGTTAATCATTTCGATTAACAAAATTTGGAATATTTCAGTAAAAACGCAATAAATATTAAAAAATACATCTGTGCAATGTAGCTAAGATCAAATTGTAATATTCTACAATTTCTTACTCAAAATACATCAAAAATGGTTATATTCGCCAATATTGATTTTCAGCTACTTTTTGCTGGGATTGTTCATACAAAACATCCTTAAATAGTTTTTAATAATTCTTACATAATTTAATAATCCTTACTTAATTTAATAATTCTTACATATGCATATTAATCTCATTTTAATTAAATAAACTTGTCATCCAAACACTGATGAAACTAGCTCCGAATTTTTCGCGCAATCGTGATTAAATAAATAGGAGAAAATTTCGGATTAATTCTGCTAAGAAATTGTAATATTCCACACAATTTCTTACTCAAAATACACCAAAAGTGGATATATTCATCAATATTGATTTTCAGCTACTTTCAGCTTCTGGGATTATACATACAAAACATCCTTAACTGACCATAATCAGTGAAATATAAGATAAAATAACAAAAAAATAAGCGTTTCTGAAAATCTAAAATACTTTTTGATTCTCAGTGAAATCTTATTTTATTGTTTAAATTAGTGATATTTTCACTGATTCACTTTTAGAGAGTAAGCTCGGTGAAACGTAAAGTTTCACGTCTGTCCGAGCACTCGCAATCGTGGGATGAAGAGCTTTGATCCTGAATAAAGTGCCGCTGGGTAGGAAGTCGCGGAGATAGAGAAAGAACGCGACTTCTTTCCCTAGAGAAGGAAGTCGATACGAGGCGTCTCGACGTCGGCAGGCGTCGTAGAGTCGACCAGATTCCTCTCTCTGCGTGTTTGACTGCCGCCGCCGTTATTTGCCGAGGTATTCGACGAACGACGAGACGAATGATGGAGCGATTCGAGCCGCGATCCTCGGGATCCTGCGTCAAGTTATACCGCGTTGAATCGATAGAGCGTAAGATGGGACGGGACCGTGTCTTTGATACTTTCGAACGCGAAATCTCGAGTCGGAATCCAGCGGAATTCCTCGCAGGCAATATCGCGCCTTTAAAAATTCATTAGGAAGCGGTCCGCTCTCGAAAAGTTAATTTACAATCACGACCGATTTTCTCATCGATTCATTCGTTTTCCGATAGCAACAAGATCGCAACAAGAAAAAGGAGCGAGGGAAAATAATTTTACACCTGTCGTCCTGGTTAAAATGTCACTCGGGATTTTTCCCCCTTATTCTCCGAATTAATTATCACGCCAGGGGACGTCTGTTTCGGGAGGGTTGCAGGGTAAAAAGAAGAAAAATCGCGCCGAAACAAGCGCTTAATTCCGTCGCGCGGCGGAATCTTTGATTCAAGGTTGGTTGACGAGAGTGTCGGGAATGTTTAACCGCAGCAACCGAGACCGTGGCTAATGAAAGCGACGTTTGATCATCGACCACGAAGTAATCGACTTACCGTGACTGACTCTGCCTCTCCCTACGGCTCCTCCTTCCGCGACATTCCTGTGCATCGAGGCTCCTGCGCCTCCCCTATTTCCCCGATCTCGTGTTAATTAACGATACACTCGCCGCACGATGACTACTCTCCAAGAGACCAACGTACTCCAATTTATATTTCGACGTGCGATCGACAGGAACCTTTCCGCTCCGATGCGCTTCCCCGTAATCGAATTTCGTGCACCTCGCAAACGAACGGAAGAAAACACGTCCGCGGCTTTTTTCAGCTTTTTTCAGTTGTTCTTTTTTTCCTATTTGGTCCTTCGACGAAGGACCTTCCCTTTCAACGTGAAATGAAGAAGATGAACCGAGGTCTTAGCTGGTGAGATCAAGACTTGCCTTCGCGTTACACGTGATCTTCTCAACCTACTTCGCGCAATTGTCTCTTGTGTTTTTCCTTCGTAAAGTTTCCGTCCTCTTCTCGTCGAGCTTGGTACAACAATTCGAACACGGAGACGTCAAGATCCTTCCCGCGATTCTTCGTCTCGAAGGGGGTCTCCTCCGAGTCTCGGCGCCAACTCGCACATGACTTTCGCGAATTCACGGCTCTCTCTTCCGAGTCGCTAGTCCAAGAATCGTGACTACTGGTTACTTCATTCCCCGGCGAAGCACGAGGGTCGAAGTCCCGCGTCAGACTGCAGGGTGTCACCCTTGTTCGTATCCTCGAACCTCCGCGATTTCCACCCTACCGCCGTCATTTCGCGAGCTCTACGCATGCCCGCAGGAAATCCACCCTCGTCGTATCTCTCGGCGTTGCCTTCGCATATATCTATCTATGTGTACCTATATACACACATATGTACACGTATACACATGTATGTGTGTGTGTGTGTGAAGCCTATGTATACGTGCTTCCACTCGAAAATTGTGGAAGCGTGCACGGATGGGCGGGTGAGGGGGGTGGCTGGATGTGTGCGTGCGCGTCCACACGTGAACGCGATTGGCGACGAGGGCTCGTATGTGCGTAGTGTGCGTGCTGGTGAGGGTGCGGATGCGCTTGGGAGGTAAACACGCGTGCGATAAATCGCCGCTCAAGGATGCGTCGGCGTCGCCGTCGCCGACGCCGACGACGGAGATAAAAATCGAGTGGATCGAGGGGGGGTTTATGGGTTTATCGCGAGTACGAATATTTTCGAATGCTGCGACGGGGGGCGAGTGTAACTTTGATGATGCCGTGCGTTGTGTCCTCTCATTATTTACGAAACGATCCTCGCCCCAATCAAAATTCTTATCGTTCTTGACGGGGGGTAATCGCGTAGAAACTTCACGCCTCGTGTATCTGGAGCTCTGGACTTTAATTTATTGAGCAAAGTTGGCGCAAGTTCACGTAAGCTAAACGCTAAGCTTATTTACTTAATCATCAAGTTGAATTGACTTGACGCGTTGCGTCCTGACGGCAAGCTTCATCTTTATCATCTTTAGAGTCATCTGCCATAATTATTTATGCTAGGTAGACTCATAGCCTAAATTAGTTTCTTCTTGAGCAAGCCGTAGTATCTATTTTCCTTGGCATTTTCATACATGCATAATAGAAATTTATTAATTGTGAAAATTAATGAGTCGAGTCAGTTATAACGCTTTTAATCAGAATTAATATGGTTTTAAAATTTTGCTTCCTTTTTAATATGTATACATTTAATATATGATATTGTACATAACAAATAAAAATAATATAATTTGCACTGAGAAAAATCGTTTGATTGTACCAACAAGACGTATATGATTGAAGGCATTTTAATTAAATCAAACAAGAATTTGTAGTTATCATGATAAGACTTGATTTTTTATAACTGGAACGTTTAATAGATTTTACTATAAGGATTTGATTAGTATTTTCTGATTGGATCTATAAAATTTCTTGTTACATTAATTTCTTTACTTGCTACTCTTAACTTAACTCGTATTCAATATTTGCCATAAGATGTATATAAAGAATTAGTATTAACATTAAATCCAAAGTATATTTTTTTTCTCTTACGAACAGTAGTGCCAGGAAAAGGACGCTAGCTCTCTGATTGTGCGTGTTTGACCTGCATCCTCTTCTTGCATCACTGTTTATCAGTTCAATTTCTAACAAACTGAATTTAAAATAATTTATTCAATAATCTGGATTGAGTTTATCCAATAATCGTGTTGGAATTCAGAATATTAAACAGACTTTTGAAATTAGATGGAAAAAATTTTAGACGACTTGGTGCTGGCGAGTTTAGTATTATTAACCAGAAAATTTAGTAAATTTAACAGGAAGAAATTAATCAGATTCATCTGATAATTCTTACAAGAATTCTAGTTCGTCCATTTTCCAACAGACTGGTTGAATCTACCAGAATTTTAATTAATGCAACTAGATTTTTTTCTCAGTATGGAAGTATATTATTTTTTTCTCTAGTTTTTCTTGCAACTATATTTGAATTTTCGAGATGGGACAATTTTGTTTTAAGAATCAGACGCGCGTTATGTGACATGTGTCATTACACGGATAAACTTTACAATTGCTCGTGTAATTATTAGAACAACGATGGATGGTTTGTTAGAAAAATATATTTAGATTATATCGCTCCAGCTCTCGTATATCTGGTTTCAGCTTTCCGCTTGTTTGATTTTCATTTTCATCGCGATTTTAATAGAAATAGTCAGCGATTCACAAAGCTCAAAAAAAAATGGTCAAGGAAGCGTAATTCCGCCCTCGCAAGCCTGTCCGGCTCCAACGTCGAAAACGAAATTAATAAAGCGCAGCCGGTACAACAAATTTCGATAAATCCGCAAGCGGTGATGCGATAATTTTAAAGCTATAACCCGATCGACAAGTAATTTGACTGACATACATATTACATTTATTTATGTACACACTTATACATATATATACATACAAGAATATATATATATATATATATATATAAAATATGCGTCTAGTGATACGATATTGATTTAAAAGGTTATACCTAGTTATAAAAATTTAAAAAAAACTGATTTTTATGTTTTTACATTTCCTTGAAGTATATTGAAAATATTTCCTCAAAGTTTTAAATTAATCGAATGCAAATTGACGGAATTATAAGTGTATTTCATGAAGCGCCAGAATGTATAACTTTGTTTAAACACGACTATAAAGCTTCAGCTCTGATGTTTTGAGGATCAAAACCAATATATGAAGCCAATATAAACTATCAAACCAATGTATAAAGATTTAAATAAACTAAAATTATATGGGCCCGGAATAGATGATTCTGTGTGTAAATTAAAAAATTTTCATTTTATTTATAAGTAAACTTGACACAAATCTTAAACGCGTTTTTTTCGAAATCACTTTTTTAAAATCGGTGAGCAAGATATTTCGAAAACTGTTACATCGATTTGCTTGAAATTTTACAGGCTTCTTCTACATATAAAAACCTAGTAGATGAACGAAGGATTTTGTTTTTTAATAAATACTTTTTTTTTTATTTAATAAAAAATGAACAATTTTTAAGTCGAAAAAGAATATCTTAGCGTCAAATGGCTGCCATTTTGTCCCAACACAATTTTTCGAATTATCCTTCGTTCATCTACTAGACAATTTTATACATTAACTACAGTTTATCGAAGTTTTGATATCAGATGAATCAACTTTGAATAGCACTGCTCATCGTAAAGCGCATTTTAAAAAACAATATCCGGGATAATAGTTATAACTTTTACATTTCTTAATATTTTATTTAAAAAAAAATATATAATAACATCTTTAATATTTGTACTTTCGAATAAAAATTGATTTGTAAGAAAAAATTATTACACTTTTCAAAAAAAAATTCCCAAACATATCTTTTTCGGTCTGCTGACTAGACATAAGAGCGCATCGCGGCGACACACAAATATCAGCGCCACGGATAAGAAAAGCCGGAATATCCGGCTCCCTCACTTAAGCACGAATCCGAAAGTAATTTTCCTTCCGGAGCATCGCTGAACGTAAGCAAAGCGAGCTCGTTTTAGTAAATTTACGAAGATAGAAGAAGAGAAGGAGAGGGAGCGCAGCCCCTTTTCTCTCTCTCCCGCGCAAAATTGCGCAACCGTGAACGAGAGCTTAATATAATTGTTCGCGATTCGAGTCGTCGCGGGGTGTGATAAAAGTCCTTGTCCTAAATAAAGGAATCAACCCGACGACGGCGCTTTACTCTTTCTTCCTCTCTCTCTCTCTCTCTCTCTCTCTCTCTCTCTCTTTCCGCCCCCGCTCGCTCGCCCATCGCGAGGGGTTCTCCTTGGAGGATCTCGTTTTCTAGCTTGTAATAGTTAGCTTGATGGTGAAACTTTCGCGGCACCTCGGCAGAACGGGCGAGGTTTAAACTGCATTAACTACGGTCTTGATAATAAAACTTTTCGAAACGTTTGACGGATGAAGCCGAGCAAACGATCTGGCTTTCTGCATTTTCGATTCCCCGCTCGGTAATTAATTGAGGGGCGCGGCAGGGATCCCGCTGAACTTTGCGTAGAGTGTTTTATGTTCAACGTTCTCGCAGCCCTCTCAGCGTTTCTCGTACACGTTTCGCGTCGTGCCCGGTGACATATCATTAAAAACTTGAAGATGGGAAAAAATAGAGATGCAAGATACTTTTTATCTAAACGAGCTTCGGGATAGTCATCTAAAATGAAGTGTGTACGAATAAAAAATTACGTCAGTGTATAAACGTAGTTTATATAAATGACGACGTAACACGAATTATACATTAAAGAAAGGATACTAACGTCGCGATACGTTATTGTTACGATGAAGAGAAAGTTGATTCGAAATTTAATAATAGCGAAAAATAAGAGAGTAAAGGAGAAGGAACGCGGCAGCGTGAAGAAAGTTTTGGGAAAGTTTCAATGACTTTAGACGTGAAATTCTTTTCTTTCAAATAGATTTAAAGAATTTTTATTGAAATATGATGCACTTTATTTTTTGTTGACAGCAATTCTTTGTAGAATAGGAAGTAATACATTTGTGCCATGTATGAATATTATTTTATATGCATTAGCTTTTTAATTTTTTTTAAATACACATTTGCAGATACATGTTTGAATTAACTATGGTCACTGCAAATAGATATTTCAAATATAAATATATATTTCAATTGGGATATCCAATTGGTATAACGCGTTCAATCGATATACTACATATATGAATATCTCTTATGTGAATAGAATTTAAACTAAAATTGCTTCTGGCAATCAATTTTAAATTCTAGAAAATTTTATATAATAGAGTAATTTTTTTTAAAATGTATAAAAATATATGTATATGTGTGTGTGTAGTATTTTTTTATAACACGACTGTGCGTGTTAAAAAATAAAAGCGAACGCCGTGCGTTTAAGTTTAGAAAATAGGTTGTTCGGATAAGGGTTAAGGATGGCTATGCGGCGATAAATATGTGCCACGATATATTATATATATATATACGAGCATACCTCGTAAAACATCATATACCGACGAATGGGAGGGATGGCGGAGGAGGAAGATGAATTATTTCCGGTACGTCCCGTCGCAATTTCAAACGGAATTAATGATTGTGTTTTTAGCGTCTTTGGACGTATTTAATCAAGGTTAAGTCGTCCCCGAATTTTCACTTTCGAATC